CATACATATACTTATATTCTCTCTCTCTCTCTCTCTCTCTCTCTCTCTCTCTCTCTCTCTCTCTCTCTCTCTCTCTCTCTCTCTCTCTATATATATATATAAATATATATATCCACTGTTCTGCTACTGTAACAGTGCATAAACCTATAGTATATATAGTGACGCACATGCAACCCCCTTAATAAACAAACAACCAAACACTGGTGACCCATATATATATATATAATAACCATTAAATATGGACATATACACCAGCTCAGGGCATGTTCTGAAGTGGAAGGTGACAATTCTCCTTTCCTCTTTCCTTCTCTCCTTTAGAGACACTTGTACAACTTACCTATGTACCTATACTTAAAAGATACTCGCTCAACTTACCTATAGAATATGTAGTCACACTAGTACTGAGTATACACTGTGTATTGTATTACCTATGAAAGAAAAGCCATGTTGTATATACACAGTCTGTTGTATTTCTGGTGAGCTGTTACATGAACTCCGGTATCAGAAACTTTCCTCTGAGCCTCCTTACTCACTTCCTTATATCTTTAGTTAATTGCTTCAGTACAACTTCCAGTCACTGGATCCGGTCCGCTCTATGAACCAGATGTATTATGACTCAACCTACATTGTAGGTCACCCCTTACAATTTATACAATGAAGATTTTTCTTCTGTTTATTCGGTTTTGTTTTCTCAACCAACCAAAAAAATAAGTTCCATTAATTTCACACAATTAAGGTTGTTAACTGCTCTTTGATTCTTTTGTGTGCGTGTGCGTGTTCGTGTGCATGTGGGGGGGGGGGGGGCAGTCTATAGTTTAGTCATACTTTCACTTTACATTGATCTGTGTGTAGTAACCTGGATCTCAATTCAAGTGCATAAACAAGCATAAAAGGAGCTAAAAATAACTTCCTGCACTTCAACTTGCAGTGATGTTTTTGTGGCTTTTGAGGAAAGATTGAACGTGCCTTCCATATAATTGTAGAGATGGTATCTATACATGTATAGCGTAATGTCCATGCTGTGGTGGTTACTGTAGTTTGCAGAGATATTCACACACTAGCACTGGCAGAAGTTACAGTTTGTAAAGGGTGAACTAGATTTTTCAAAGTCTCTTGTGTAGTGAAAAATTACTACATGTAGTTTCTTTTTCAAAGGGTGTGACTTTTCAATTCTTTCTCAGAAAATTGATCACATGACTTGATCACATGGCTGACTTTGTCTCTTAAGAAATAATTTACTTCTATGTCATTCTATAAATATACCTTTTAAAACATTCACAATGATCTTTTTTTAAGTTGTACAATTGCGATTATTAAGAAACATTGAAAAAAGAAAGTTGGTATTTGTCTACTCAGTTTTATTATTATTATCTAAAAGGTATATTTATAGAATGATATAGAAGTAAAATTTTTCACAGTGATCTTTTTAAAGTTTTAAAATTTTTATAATTAAAAAGCATTGGAAAAAGACAGCTGGTAAATATCATTCAGCATTATTATTATTATTATTATTTTGATTTTTTTTTTGTTTATCAAATCCGATGAAGATTATTATAAACTTATAATTAACTTATCTTATTATTATAAACTTATCAATGATTGTAATTATATAAAACAATTATAAAACAGTTTTGCATTTTTTAAAACTTTTTACCTAAGGCAGTGAGAGCGTGAGGGCCTGCTTCACAAAAGAATATTAGACTGAAGGTTTGTCAAAAATTTTAGACCATAATTTACCCTGGAAAAAAAAACATGTACAGTCTGTCCCTTAAACTTTCCAGCTTAGTGGTCAATAAGACCACCACTTTTCTAAAAACCACTGGTCTGAATTCAGATTCACTGGTCTGAATAAAAATTTCAGAAACCTTGCACTTCCCCTATTTCATCAATATTAGTAATAACAAGACCTTGATTTTGTCAAATATTCTTTCAAAATGTTTTTAGAATCATCATGTTACAGTTACATTTCAAAAACAAAAAATTAAATCAAAAGCTTTACATTCTGAAAAAATCTTCTGGTCCAAACCAAAATTTAACTAGTGATGGGCATAGAAGCAGTGACTGGCTTAACAGACTGTGTGGTAAAAGCAATTAAGAAAAAAATACACTCTAAATATTCTTAAACTCACAGGAATAATTCACAGGACTAAGTAGAATGTAAGTTCAAAAACAAATCTGATAAGATTATTTCTGTTGCAGATAAATTGTGAACTTCATTTTTCACACAATGGCATTTTCAGGGTTTAACTTTGAACTCCCATGGGCCTGAAGCCCTGTGCCAGTTATATTTTCTATTTCTACCCACATTAACAGTAAAGATTAAAATATTAGTGGTGATTATGCTGTAATAATATATTGCACACTGTAATGGTTATTTTCTGCTTTATGTCTTTATGTTTGACAACTTTAATGTCTTGTTCATTACTTATGATTTTTTGTTTTGAGAAATTTTCCTTTTTCACAAATAGACATTTTTAAAAGTAAAATTATGAATTCCCAAGGGTTACATTTTCTGAGACATTCGTAGATGGTTAAAAATTTTGTGGTGATTCTGCTGTTAAGCATTATGTGACGTTGCATCAAGATTGATCCTTTAGTCATTCCTACACTGTTTGATGTCACTGCTTCTATCAGTTTTGTTGTTAATGTCTGTAAAATTAACAGCTCTGCTGTCCTTTTTTTTTTTTTTTTTCAGTTCAATTGATTCAATGTCATCAGATTCTTTATTTTCCAGATGCAGACAGGCCATTATTTGAACTATCAGTGGTCTTCATTAAAGAGGAAGTAAGAAAGAAAGAAATAACCATGGCATGTTGGAGAAAGAATACAACCATTGATCGTATGTTCGACAGAAATATAGAAGATTTGTGCAACATATGCTGATAAAGCTGCTGTGAAAATATAGATATATTTACTAAAATTATCTAATTCATTGTGATATTTTAGTGTACAGTTAAAAAAGCAAGACTACAAAATACTGTTTTTACAAGCAGCAATCAATAATAGAACACTTAAAATAGCCAGCTGAGCAAAGACTGAGAGTGGAAAAAAAAATTACCGAGAAAATAAAGAAAGTGCTGCTGTTTTACACTTTTGTAGATATTCACAAAACCCATATTTGAAGAGATTAATAGAAATTTAATTTAATCTAAATTATGTAGGAGTAATATGTTACAATAACCATTACTTACAACAGACTGTCATTTGTTTAAATACATTGAGAGCTTGTTTTCTGAAATCCACATAAATAAATGCATATAAGATGGGATTCACAGCTCTGTTAATGACTGCTGAAAAATAAGCGAAACCTGAAAAAATCCTGTATGTTTCATTAGTATTGTCCACATTTGTGAAGAAAAGTAGGTAATAATCAACCCATTTTGGGAACCAACAGACAGCAAATACAACAGTTACTGCTATCATCAAAAATGTAAGCCTCCTTTTGTCTTTGATAACTTTTATCTCTGCTGGATTGTTCCCAGGGTTTGGCCTGTCCTTGTAGTTCAGTTGATAAATAACCTTGGCGTACATCACAGTAATTGCAATCAGCGGACCCAAATAGTTAAATGCAAAAAAGCTGGCAAAAATTGCCTGGTATGGCGTTTTGTCGACATTGTACGTCTGATTGATAGTAACGTATGGACCAGCTTGGTACAGGTAGCCATGATCCATGTCGAGAAGCATGCTGCCTGGGATACATGCCAATATGGAGACAGCCCATAGCAAAGCCACTGTAATGAGGAGGTTTCTTGATGTCTTTAACACTACAGATTTATACACCAGCACGAGTGTTAAGAACTTATCAATTGCTAAGAGCACTAGAGTGTGAATACTGACAGTGATTGTCACAAATGTCACATAAAATGAGAAAATCATTAAATTTCCTGGAACTCTGATGGCAGAAGTAACTATTTGGAAAAGAAGGAAGCAAATGTCTGCTAAGGCCAGATTTGCTATAAAAATATATGCCTTAGTTCTCGTTGATCTTCTACAAAAAATGATCATTAAAACCAGTGAGTTTCCAATTATTCCTATTGAATGCACAATGAGTGTTATGATTTTGATAATATCAAGAACTGGGATAAAATACATTTTTTCTTCACTAAATGATAACAAATCATTTAAGTTATCTTTTGATAATGATCTCTTGACTATAAACAGTTGAATGGTCCTCCGTAAAGGCATTCAAGATATCATGTACATGTACAGTATGCCATTGTGTGAAAAATGATTTCTTAATTCTGTGTGCTGCAGTTTCTTTTGCACATGCCCACTATGTGCACGTGCCTCATTTGTTCCTGTTGTCCTAAATTATCGATGAAGCCATATATATAATGAAAAATAATATCCTAATTCTGTCTGCTGCAGTTTCTTCGGATTGTAAATACCAATACCTACTTTGTGTACATGCCTTCTTATTTCCTGTTGTCCTCAGTTATTGGTGAAGTCATCTTTATCATGAAAAATTATTTCCTCATTCTGTCAGCTGCAGTTTCTTTAGTTCATACCCATCCGCTGAATATACCTTAATTGTTTTTTATCTTCAAATGACAGAAACTGGACAGGTTAAAAAACACTGCCATTTCCCGTGGTGTGCAGGGACATGTCTCCCAATATACTGAATGATGTTGAACTTATGCACGCACTGATAGAGAGGAATATTTTCAAGTACAGCAGACAAAATATCCCTGTTGGTTTGATGGTTCTGTCACACCTAGCGTAAACAGGTATGCAAGAGTGTCCTATGTGACACAGATCATACGTACGCAGAACTTTGAGCGTACGAAATCACCCTCTTTCCAGCATTAAGCCGAACCTTTACTATCTATGGCTATTTCCAAGAAGTCCATACACCACGAATCATTGTCAGAGCAAATGAAAAACATTAACCTTGCCATAAACACTCTACTGTTAGTAAGATAATGCACAATCAAGATATTAGATGATGATAAGTTTTCAAATCCATCAGTGATATAAAGTCAATCAGTTAATGTGGTGTGATAATGCAGATAATGGCTTCAAAAATCATCATTTCCTGCTTTTTCTATTATATATCTTAATTTACTGATGTGCCATCTAGACTGTGTTTAAAGTACCTTTATTTACAGAACACTTAAACAGTTAACATTAATCATCCAAGATAACCCAAAAGGAAGCGATCTGTCGATCTGTTGGTATATGCTACTGTGTTAAGCCTGAAACAAGCACTAAACTTGACTAGAAATTTAATGTGCCTTTGAGTTGAGATTAATTGTTCGATCAATGATAAAATGAAGCTCTATGTGACAGAGTTTATATCTTCAAAAACAATACATGTGACATGCGAATTAAACATTGTTAATACGCAGTATTGTGCAAGATGCTGTAATTTGACAGAGCCTATAGAAAAAACAACCAGAAAAATATCTGCTTATATATCAGCTTTTATTCATTGCCTCACCACACTTGCTATCTGCCATTATTTCTCACTCCCTCTCCTCTAAGTCCTGTAAATTCTCACTTTTCAAGTTGCAAATTAAAACTTTGGGCTGTACCTAGGATATCATCCCCATTGAATGTTTTATAATGGATTGAACAGCAAGTGACTTTCTCCACACCTGCAACAGGTTGGGGCATTTTTATTAACACTTTGGTGGATTTAAGTAAGATTTGATACGTTACTTCATGGACCTAATTATGTCCATGGTTACTTTTAGCATAATTTTGAAATTAACTGAGATCAGCATTTTGTTAGGAGATTGTCTGGCTTATGTGGTACAACCTTGAGATTCTCACCAATGAGGCAGGAAGAGATTTAGAATTCACTTCTTCTTACAACAGGTCGTTCTTATTTGTTTGAAAAAATTGTGAGCTTGTTGTCTGAAATCCACATAAATAAAAGCATATAAGATGGGATTTATAGCACTGTTAATAAGCACTGAAAAATAAGCGAAAGCTGAAAAAATCTCATATGATTCATTAGTATTGTCCACCTCTGTGAAGAAAAGTAGGTAAAAGTCCACGTATCTTGGGAACCAACATACTGCAAATACTACAGTCACTATTATCATCACAATTGTTAACCTCCTTTTGTCTTTAATAATCTTGGAGTCTGCTGGATTGTTTACTGGGTTTGGCCTATCCTTGGAGTTCAGTTGAAAAATGACCTTGGCGTACATGACTGTGATTGCAATCAGTGGAACCAAGTAGTCCAACACAAAGAGACATATGAAGATAGTCTTGAACGGTGTTGTGTCCGTATTGTTCGTCTTATTGACTGTTATATATGGCCCCTTTTGGATAAAATATCCCGGATCATCTCCAAAGAAAATGACAGCAGGAGAAAGTAAAGATATTGAGATAGCCCATAACAAAGCCACTGTGATGAGAAGGTTTCTTGATGTCTTAAACACTATGGATTTAAACACCAGTACCAGTGTTAAGAACTTATCAATTGCTAAGAGGACCAGTGTATGAATACTTACAGTGAATGTAACAAATGTCACGTAAGTACTTATCATGAAAAATTCTTTCGGAACGTTCATCATGAAACCAGCGACCATTTCATGGGCAAGGTAGCAAAGGTCTGCCAAGGCCAGATTGCCAATAAAGATGTACATCTTGGTCCTCAGTTTTTTTGTACACAAAATGATCAGTAAAACAAGTAGGTTTCCAACTATCCCCAATGAAGTTACACTGAAGGATATGATGGTTAAAACGTCCAGCACTGATCCAAAATACATTCTTCTTCTTTTTTGTTATTGAATGATCAGTTTATCCGTTAAGTTCCCTTTTCACCTTTGGTATATATCCAAGCAGGTCACAAGTTGTAGGATTAATATTTTTTTTATGTTAAATCATCTTACAATTTGCAATCTGAGGCCATTTTTATTGCAGGTTTAATTGGTTGCATAACTTCAGCTTGTTCAACATATTCTTTCCATATCATTCTTTCGATAGTAATTAACAAACTTGAAGTTGTTAGCTCTTCCTCAATGAATGGAAGGATTTGGTGAAATGATTGATGAATCCTTATTGAAAAATTATTTTATAACTCTGATGCTTTAATTGTCTCCATTCCAAATAACCATCCAATATGGTTCAATTAATCCCCTTTTGAAAAATCTTTTGAAAAACCCTAATCATGCTGGTTAATACGTGTTATGGTTCTTCCTCGAATGGTAGATATAGGTGTAGAAATCACAGCATCTGCAGGGCACATGTGTCCAATTGACAGGATACCTCTTCATCACCTTGAATCAGATCATAAATCTAAATATTCCAAGCTTTAAAAAAACAGAAAAACACGACTAAATTGTTACTTCAGTACGAGGGAATACTGATATTGGCACTCAAGTTTTTTTTTTTGCTGCTGCTTTCTCTTATTAATGTGGTTCAATCTGAAATATACAAAACATTCTTACACAACTTAAAAGAGAGAAAAAGAGAGAGAGAGAGATGATATTCAAAATAAAATCAGAGAAAAAAACTAAACAAAAGAAAAGTTTCATGGTAATGTCGGACTTGAATCTGATACCTTGAAGTGACATGTTGTAAAGTGTAGATTAACACAGCGCATTTCAATGATGAATACTGAGTCTTGAGAGAATGAATTAACACTTCATCATTAATGACCACAATTTCAACTATTAATTCACGCAGTGTGAATAAACAATACTTATATCATGAATTCAGTTAAATTATATGATACAAAATAAAATAAAAACAATAATAATAATAAACAAAAATAAACAAATAAGAACCAAACAGTGTGACCTACATGTACATTGTATTTGACGAAGTATAACTGGTAATAACGACCTTGAATTTCACTCAAAAGGAAAATTACAAGCAATATTTTCAAAACCAGAAATTCCTGCATAATGTAAGTACATGTGGTAGTCTTGAGAACAAATTAAATTAAGTGACATATGTCAGCAAGTGCAAGTTATAGCATATTAGAATAATAATAACTTACACATTTGTGTCCTCCTTGTGTCATCGTGTTCTACAACAAACTAACGAAATTTTACCTGACATCTGGTTAAAATGACTACTCGATTCACTGTGGTGACAGGGTTGACCCAAGCACGACAACAAAAAGGATGTAAATTTAATGCAAGTACAACAACAAAAAAGTGGGCGTTTTAGGTTGTCTGTCCTCTTCACAACCATGACGAGGAAATGACAGTAGAGCTGTGATGGATGGTATGCCAATTAAATCACATAGAGCACAACTATGCCATGACTGATTGAAAGGGATGAAGGGCTATTAAGGCCACATTCAGAATAGTGGACTAACTAGTCCGAGGGTCATATATGGCAACCAACTTAATGGCTTGCCGTCCAATCCACTATTGGACACTGAATAGATTACCCATGGGGAAGTATTCAAGTAGATCGGCCATATTCGATCCTCGGACTAGTTAGTCCACTGTTCTGAATGCGCTAGTTATAGTACTGTTCTAAATGCGGCCACAGAGAACAGATGATTAGTGGAAGTGAAGGCAGGCTATTATTCACCAGTCTGCTGAGGTGAGACCCCTCCCCTGGGGTTAAACTCATTAGGAAGATTAATGTAGGGGGATTTCAGATGTCTGGTTTAATTGCTTTGTCACAATATTGACACTCTGGTGAAGTGGTTGCATTTGATCATGAAACAATTTGTTTAATGTCTGTAACATTTTTAGATATTTCCCACCTGAATTAATTATTCTAGAAAGTTTTTCGTGTTAGATCTTTGGTTCTGTTCCCAACCTAATTGATCGGCAGACTAACTGAGCTGATGGGTCTTTAAATGTATATATCACACCATATTTTTTAATTTAAATTTTGTTGCTGTTTTGTTTGGTTAAAAAGGTTTAGTCTAAAAAATAAGCACAATTTTTTAATTGTTAATAAATAGTTATTGGCACATTTTGTTGTTTTACAATTCTGTTGTCTAATGTTTTCATAAAATTAAGACATGAGAAAGGGGTTAACTTATTACATAAATTATTAAAATTGTATCAAACTTGTATCATGTGTTGTTTTAGGATCTCACTCTCAAGTATACCTGGAAGTGATTACCCCCCCCCCCTTGATTTAGTAACCCTTGAATCAAGATGCATCTCTAGGAAGAAGTGGGGTAAACAGATTCTCCCATATCTAGGTATCCCGGCTTTGGTTACGTATCTGTCACTTTTAATTGCTTGACTACTACCCACTTATACCCACTACCAATCTCACAGAAAATATTCATAAAATATCTGTTTACCTGTTTATCTGTTTTCCCCACCTTTACCTGGAGGATATAGGTGGTTATACTTTGATTAGATTTTTAACAATACCTTCTGCACTTGTACTCAACGAAAAATTTAAAGGAAATTTTTATAAAGTAATTTGTTTAACAATGAAGTTGTATTATCACACTTAAAATTAAAAATATAAATAAATTGGATGAAATGTTTTGAACTTAACACTGATTTAATTTATATTTGTATAGAAATATATATTTCTTGGGGGGGAATCGTCTGGGGGGAATTGTCCTAGAATTGATCCACAGACTAACATATCTGCCAACTAAATATGGCCAACCCCACTTAAAAAGTGATACTGCAAATTCCCTGATAGTCTCCCTGCCTGCACACATACCATCACTGCAGGGACTTGGCAATTAAACCTCAGAGTTGAGATTTTATCCATTTAATGGCGCGTGTGAAGGCGGGGAGACCATCAGAGAATTAGCGGCATCACTTTTTAAGTGGGGTCGGCCATATTTAGTTGGTGGACCTGTTAGTCTGCAGATCATCCATATTGAATGCGCTCTAAAACAACAGTATGCATTCCTTAGCACCAGCTGGGCCAGTTTCATATNTGATTCCCCCCCCCCCCCCCCCCCCCTTGATTTAGTAACCCTTGAATCAAGATGCATCTCTATAGGAAGAAGTGGGGTAAACAGATTCTCCCATATCTAGGTATCCCGGCTTTGGTTACGTATCTGTCACTTTTAATTGCTTGACTACTACCCACTTACCCACTACCAATCTCACAGAAAATATTCATAAAATATCTGTTTACCTGTTTATCTGTTTTCCCCACCTTTACCTGGAGGATATAGGTGGTTATACTTTGATTAGATTTTTAACAATACTTTCTGCACTTGTACTCAACGAAAAATTTAAAGGAAATTTTTATAAAGTAATTTGTTTAACAATGAAGTTGTATTATCACACTTAAATTTAAAAATATTAATAAATTGGATGAAATGTTTTGAACTTAACACTAATTTAATTTATATTTGTATAGAAATATATATTTCTTGGGGGGGGATCGTCTGGGGGGAATTGTCCTAGAATTGATCCACAGAATAACATATCTGCCAACTAAATATGGCCAACCCCACTTAAAAAGTGATACTGCAAATTCCCTGATGGTCTCCCTGCCTGCACACATACCATCACTGCAGGGACTTGGCAATTAAACCTCAGAGTTGAGATTTTATCCATTTAATGGCGCGTGTGAAGGCGGGGAGACCATCAGAGAATTAGCGGCATCACTTTTTAAGTGGGGTCGGCCATATTTAGTTGGTGGACCTGTTAGTCTGCAGATCATCCATATTGAATGCGCTCTAAAACAACAGTATGCATTCCTGAGCACCAGCTGGGCCAGTTTCATATACAGACACATAGTTTCTGTGTATTTGTATTAGCCAGTTTTACCATCTAGTTTGAAAGAAAAGAGCAAGTACAAACCATTTTTTGTTTGAAAAATTTATACCTGGCACATGGTAAGATACAAATTAATTCATGTCAAAAAACTTAATTGATCACAGTTAGGATGGAGACAAATATGTCTGACAAAACAATAAAAAAAACAGCATTAAACATGATGCATATTTGTACTTAAACAAAAACTCTCCTCATTGCATCTTCTCCATCTACGTAATAAATATCCATTCCTCAAGTTTTGAGATTACTCTGCATGAAGTCATGCAATCCTTCATCTGAACATGCTCAAAGAATATTCCACTTTCCAGTCTTCCAGTAAGTTGTGAGGACTTTGTGAGCTTGCCTTCTTATCTTTGGGTCAGAATCCCTGTTAAAAATGTCCAGAGCGTCTGCCACCTCTAATTCTAGGTGCTGAGGGGAACCGTCACACAGAGTATGTAATACTTGCTGACGGACATTGACTGCGTCATCATCGATCATTTCAAGAACTCGCTTCCAGAAGTCGTCCAAGTCTTTTTTCACTCGGCATGGGCACATTTCTTTAAGAGCTTTCTGACGTACCTGTAGCAGAGTGGAGATGGTGAATATAATATATAATTATAATTGTAATATGTATGGGCATGATGTGAAATGTGTATGATGTGAAATGACCTGGTTTCAGAACTTTTAAACCTCAATTGAACTACTTTCCAGAGACCATTGTTTCAATAAATTATAAACATTTCAAAATAAATTGTGTCTTTCAATCATGTCAAGTTCATAATTGACACTTGACTTAAAAAATAACAATAAAATTTCTGCTAAATATTATTTATCAAAATAATTCAACTTCATCAACAGAGATCAAATAAAATTACAAACTGAAAAACGAGACTTCTGTAGACTTTTGTAGAATTCATAAAAGATTGTAATTATAGGAATACGTTGGAAACAAGAAGAAGCGTGTCAGTCACTTGAGCTGATTGCACTGGTAAGTTTGGTCAATCCACGCAGACCAATATTGTTGTCAAGGAGATTGGGGTAAAACTATCTTACCAATGGGTCACTGTGCTTTGTGAGCTCTATGATAGTTTCAATCGTTGTAGTAGACTGGCAAAGTCTAAGTGCCTCTCTGGAGGATAATTCTGTCATCTTCTTCTGTGTACTAGTATACTCGTAAACAAACTGATGAAAATTAAATATATTCTTATTACAAATGTGTAAATAAATTGCTATAAAATAGTATAAACAATCATTTCAACCGAAAAAATCTATAATAATAGAATTGAACTTAAACAAAGGGAAAACTAGTGCGATGGTGTCTGCCACAACGTTAACTGCATTGCATCTCAACACTTAAGAGGAAAAATCTTGCTAGCAGTGGTAGCTCTCTCAATTATTTTCTTTAACATTACATATATTACTGACAGATTGTTACTTTCACTTTATTTTCACTTGGTTTCTCAGTTTACACCAGTTTTACGTACCTTATTCACAGATGAACCAATTTCCCAATCCCTTCATATAATCATCGTCGGGTGTATTATTATTCTGATCTGTTAAGAGAACTGCTATATATACCAGTAATTCTATTGAGTCAATATTGTGCAAACAGCGAATGTCACAGTGTTGTGCAAGGGATATCCTCGCTTCTAAAAATAATTTACGACCTTGACCTCGGCATCCGGGCACTTCGAACTACGAAAGAAGCCGCCATATTCCCACCGGCGCATGGACTTCATTTGTTGACTAGAGTACATTTTAATTTAAACTTTTCTTGTCGGCCTGAGTTGCATGATGGCCGGTGCTGATTTAAATCAGCTTACAGACAGGTTGGCCAAGGCCTCTGTCGAAGAATCGAGTATCCTCAGTTTTGCTGGGCAAGGACGTAAACTTGATACCGAAGACGATGGTAAGACGGCCAGCTGACCCACGTTTAATTACTTGTTATGTCTGTATGTCATGTAAGCATTTTGGTCTTTGTTGATATTGTACACTTTGCTCTGTTGTTATTTTTTTCAGATGACTTGTGTAAAATTTTTAATGAAACGTAGTTAGAGGGGGCACCTGAACGTGTAATCAATAATATTCTTTTGTTATAATGATGATTGACTGAAAATCTATTTTAAATCTGATCGTGTTCCCAGTGAATACTGTCATTACTGAATTAACATAAATTACGGATATAGAAACACCAGAAAAGTTTTTTTTTTTTTTTTTTTTTTTTTTTTTTTG